AGAGAGAGATAGAGAGAGAGAGAGAGGTGAGAGAAGTAAGTGTGTGTGATTTCGGACTTTCTTTCGCCTTTTCCCTAATTCTTCTCTTTCGTTTCACTCCGCCTCTTCCTTTTCTTTCTTTTTCTTCTTCCTCTCCTTCTCCCTATATTTTTTTCTTCTTATACTTCCTTCCACCATTCCTCCACTACTTCTTCACCTTCTCTTCCCCCTTTCTCCTTCATCTTCTCCCATCCTCCTCCTCATCCATTATCAAGTTTCTTCAGAATCACCTTTATTCATATTTTCTTCTTATTCCCTCTTCCTCTTTCGTTCCATTTATCATCAATATCATTATTCATTTACATTTTACTCATCATTTCCTCGACAAATTATCTTCTCTTTTCCCACTTCCCTCTTCTCATTTTCGCAGAACAAAAAGGGTGGAAAAAACAAGCGAAGAAAAATATTTTTAAAATAGGAAGAAGCGAACAGGGGGAATAACGAGAAGAAGAGTTTACGAGAGAAGAAGAAGAAGAGAAAAAGAGGGGAAATACAGAAGAAGACAAGACAAAGTAGAAGATGATGATGATGATATGGCAGTGATGACAGATGCGATGAGCGACGCAATTGAGAAGAAAACAGAATAATGATAGAAGACCAAAGACGAAGAAGAACAGGAAAAGAATAAATAAAATTACGAAGGATAAGAAAAATGAAAGAAAAAAAGAAAAAGAAAAAAAAAGATTGCTAAGCGAGTGGGCGGGGGTGTAAGCTGAGCACGGGCGCAGGGCAGGTGAGGTGGCCGGGTGGGCGGCTCCTGCATACATACATACATACATTTACACATCACACCACATACCTTAACCAGGTTGTGAACATCACAGCATCACAACGGCGAGAGAAAGGGGGAAGGGGGAGGGAGGGGGAAAGGGGGAGGGAGCGGGAGGGAGGAGGGGAGAGAGAGGGAGGAGAGGGAGGAGGAGGGAGTGGAGGAGGAGGGAGGGGGAAGGGGGAAGGAAGGGGGGGAAGACTGGGGAAGGTGAGGGTTGAGGAAGAGGAGATGGGGTAGGGAAGGGGGAAGAGGAAGGAAGGGAGGAGAGAGTGGGGAAGGGGATGGGAGGGGAAAATGGTGGGAAGGGGGAGAGAGAAAGGGGGAGAAAGAGGAAGAAAGGGACGGGAGGACGATGGAGAGGGGGAGAGGAGGAAAGGGAGGAGAGAGGAGGGAAGGCAATAAGCAAAAAAAGTAGAAAAATGTAAGTAGGAGAATGGGAGGAGAGGGCAGGAAGCCTTAACAACAGCAAAAAGACAAAAAACAAAAACAAAAAAACAAAAAAAAACAATCCCAACAAAACAATAAAAGACAAAACAGTAAATTAGTAAAACCAAAAAACGAAACAAACACACACAAAACAGAAAGAAAAAAAAAAGGCGAGCCAAACGGTACTATCATTACGTAGGACGGTTAGGATCGAGTGGGCGGAGGGGGGTGGCGCAGGTGGGTGGTGGGTGGTGGGCGGGCGAGCGGGCGGTTGCAGGACGTCTCGAGGTGGGCGGTGACGTCACAGGAGGTCTCCCCTCCCTCCTTCCCCCTCCTTCCCACATCCCCTCCTTTATCCCCCCCCCATCCTCCCTCCTTCCCCTCCCCTCCTACTTCTCCCTCCCTCCCTCCCTCCCCTCCCCCTCCCCCTCCCCATCCTTCCTCCTCCTCATTCTCCCTCCTTCCCTTCTCTCTCCCTCCTTCCCTCCCCCACTCCCACACTTCCTCCCCCTCCTCACCACCCTCTTTCCACCCCCTCACCCCCGCCCCCCTAAACGCCAAAGGCCACAACTGACACCGAGAGGCTCCTTAGGGTGTCCGGCCATAGAGTGGAAGACGGTGTATTTTCCGTTTCATTTTTTCTTCCTTTCTTTCTTTGTCTTTTTGTCTTTTTTGTCTTTCTTTCTTTTCTTTCTTTTTGTCCTTCAGTGTTTCTTTCTTTCTTTTTCTTTCTACTTTCTGTATTTCATTCATTCTTTTTCTTTCCTTATTTCTTCCATTCTTCTCTTTCTTTTTCTTTCTACTTTCTGTATTTCATCATTCTTTTTCTTTCTTTCTTTCTTCCATTCTTTCTTTTCCTTTCCTTATTTCTTCCATTCTTTCTTTCTTTTTCTTACTTCTTTCGGTCTTTCATTCATTCTTTTTCTCTTACTTTCTTTCATTCTTTCATTCTTTTGTTATTCATCTTTCATTCCTTTCTTTCATTTCTCTTTTTTTATCTTTCCTTCACATACTGATGTAAAAATTTATTTTAGCAGAAATGTATGTAGGCCTATACGTGCTCAGCCTATTACGATATATGGCAAAAAAAAAAAAAAAAAAAAAAAAAAAAAAAAAAATATATATATATAATATATATATATATATAAACATATGGTCTTCGATATGCACGTCACTTGAATAATACCAATAATTACGATGATGTTAATAATGATGATGATGATGATAATGATGATGATAGTTGACGATGATGATGAGAGTGCGGTGATAGTGATAGTGATGGTGATGGTGACGGTGACGATGACGATAACACACACAGTATCAAGGCCTCTCTGGAGCCTAGGCAGTATGACTCTCACGTGTCGACAAATGACGAAATTCTTAAAATATTTGAGAGTTGAAATATATGTGCGATCTATAATCTAATAATTGTTTAACCCTTAAGGAGATAATAAATAAATAAAAAACAAATAAATGCAACCTAAGATTTGCATTCACATCCAAGATGAATAAACCAAGAATAACAACAACAATATTGTTGACAATGATGATGATGATGATGACGATAAAAAAAAAATAATAATAATAATAGTTGGTGACAGCAATAGCAAGTATTAGAAGTAGTACTAATAGTAATAGCAATCGCAGCAGTAGCAATAATAACAATAATCATCATCATCATCAACGTCATTATAACCACAACCAAAACTAAAAAAGACTCATCACCAACACCAAAGACCACAAGCACACCATAAGCCACGAACCGGGGACGCTACACCAAAACACCCGAACACCACCAAGCCCATTAACATTCACCTGAGCCACGCCACCCCAAGCCAAGCCAGAAGACATCTCCCCCCCCCCTCCCCCCCGCCGCTCAAGTCACGTATAGCACGGGCTGGACGGCCGTTGAGAGAGACAGTGTAGAATGAGAGAGAGAGAGAGAGAGAGAGAGAGAGAGAGAGAGAGAGAGAGAGAGAGAGAGAGAGAGAGAGAGAGAGAGAGAGTAGAGAGAGAGAGAGAGAGAGAGAGAGAGAGAGAGAGAGAGAGAGGAGAGAGAGAGAGAGAGAGAGAGAGAGAGAGAGAGAGAGAGAGAGAGAGGAGAGAGAGAAAGAGAAAGAGAAAGAGAAGAGAGAGAAAGAGAGAGAAGAGAGAGAAAGAGAAAGAGAGAGAGAGAGAGAGAGAGAGAGACAGAGAGACTGACTATAACGACCGGTCTGTTTAAAACGTGCGATATCCGACCCAATGACACTCACATATACTACACATACAGCAGAATATAATACGACGTGAGATCAAATATAAAGCATATCAGATAAACAGACAGACATGTACTTATTTCTGCGTATGTGCACGTCCGATTATATGAATATTCACTGGGTCGGGCCGCCCACAACTATAACAAACCGGCCGAAAAACACACACCTGCGCTCTTGGTTGTTAAGTGGGGTGGGTGGGGTGGGGTGGGCGTGAGGGTGTGAGGCGGTGAGAGGGGTGGGGTAGGGTGGGGTGAGAAAGGTGTTGTGGGGTGTGGGGTTGGGGGATGGGGGATGAGAGGGTTGTGAGGGTGTAAAGGTGGGGGTGAGAAAGGGGTTGTGGGCGTGTGGGGGTGGGGGATGAGAGGGTTGTGAGGGTGTAGAAGGTGGGGGGTGAGAAAGGGTTGTGGGTGTGGGTGGGGTGGGGGATGGGGATGAGAGGGTTGTGAGGGTGTAGAAGGTGGGGGGTGAGAAAGGGTTGTGGGGTGTGGGGATGGGGGATGAGAGGGTTGTGAGGGTGTAGAAGTGGGGGGTGAGAAAGGTTGTGGGGTGTGGGGGCGGGGGTGAGAGGTGGGGATGGGGATGAGAGGGTTGTGAGGGTGTAGAGGTGGGGGGGAGAAAAAAGAGGGTGAAAGGGTGGGGGTGGGGATGAGGGAGAAGTGGTGAGGATGAGGAAGTGAGAGAGGGGTGGAGAAGGAGGGTGATTGGGAAGGAAGAAAGGAAGGAGAGAAAGAAGGTAGAGGAGGGGAAGAGGGAGAGAGAGAGGAGAGGAGAGGAAAGGAGAGATGAAATGAGATGAGAAGAGAATTTCGAGAGGCAAGGAGACGAGAAAAGAGGAGAGAAGAGAAGAGGATGGCGGGAAAGAAAAAGAAGGAGAGAAGACTGAGAAGGCGGGGGTGGAGAGAGAGAGAGAGAGAGAATGGGATCGGAGGGAGTGGAGTCCACAAAACAACCCACACCTCGACACCAACCCCAGCAGCCAGCAGACACGCACCAAAACCCCAAATCAGAAAACAATACCCTCCCTCCCTCCACCCCTTCCCTCCCACCTCACCTCCCCTCGCCACAAATGCAAACAAAGTCAAACCCACACAAAACAACGCCTGCTGAACTATGGCAATAAAAAAAAAAAAGACGAAACCGCAGCCGCAATCTGGAAAATAACCGCAGGAATATCTCTCTGACATCATGCAACACAATACTCCCAGCACACTCGCGAGCGCACGCACGTGAGTACAGACACAGATACAAACACATACATACATACAGACACACACCAATAACCAAATAAACAAATACAAATACACAAATAAAACAAACACACAAACAAACAAAGTAAACCAATAAATAATACACAAAAAAAAATCCCCAAAATATTCTACCTTCGCAACGCACCTTCCCTTACCCCCCCCCCACCCCCAACCCCACCAACCCCCCACCCCCCAACCCTCCACCCCTCCAACCCGCCCCGTCGTCGACCCCAAATCCCCGTCAGGAGGAACACCTACCTGACGACGGCGAGCAACACGATGCCCCCTGTGGACAGCGCCCATCCCGTGGCGGCGAAGGCGGCGGGGAGGGTGAGGCAGCCCGTCCCCACGATCAGGTTGAAGACGTAGATGAGGCCCGTCTGAGGAGAAGAAGGGGAGAGAGAACCGGAGAGGTGAGAGAGGAGAGAGGGGAGAGGGAGAGAGGTGAGATGTCGAGAGAGAGGAAGCAGGGAGAGAGGAGAGAGAGGTGGAGAGGGGAGAGGGATGAGAGAGGAGAGGGGGAGGGAGGTGGGAGAGGGAGAGAGAGAGAGAGGAGGTGGAGAGGGAGAGAGGAGAGAGAGGGGGAGAGGGAGAGGGAGAGAGGGGGAGATGGAGAGATAGAGGAGAGGGAGAGAGAGGGAAGAGGGAGAGAGAGGGGTGGAGAAGGGAGGAGAAGGGTGGAGAGGGAGAGAGGGTGGAGAGGGAGAGAGGTGGAGGGAGAGAGGTGGAAAGGGAGAGGGGGAAGAGGGGAGGAGGAGAGGGAACGAAGGGGGGGGAAGAAGAGGAAGAGGAGGAGGAGGAGGAACTGAAGGTCAAGAAGAAGAAGAAGAAGAAGAGGTGAAGAAACAGGACAAAAAAAGAGAGAAGTAAAGATAGCAAGAGACCAGGGATAAAATGGTATAAAAATAGAATACAGCCGGGAGGACAAAAAAAAAAAAAAAAAAAAAAAAAAAAAAATCTCCAATTCATGTTCCTTCTCTTGGCAAAATATCAAAATATTCCACCTCAAGACACACTTCTAAGCAATCTTTTCCTCTTCTTCTTCTTTCTTCTTCTTCTTCTTCTTCTTCTTCTTCTTCTTCTCTTCTTCTTCTTCTTCTTTCTTTTTCTTCTTCTTCTTTGTTTATTCAATCTATTTCTCTTTATTTCACGTTCATGAGCATTGCTTTGTTTTGATTTTGTGAAAAATTTTGATGCTCTCGCCCAATCTCTTGGTTCTGCCGCCAAATGCCTTGGTGAAATAATTTTCATAAGTCATTAGATTTTCATTAAGGATATTATAACGTGAGACTAATTATGCAAATAATCCTAAAATGAACGGGAATGAAGCTGAGAAAAAAAAAAGAAAAAAAGAAAAAATATGAATACTAAAAAAAAAGAAGAAAAATAGATAAAGATGAAAGAGGAAGAGAAGGTGAAGAAAAGGGAGAAGGAAATGAAGAAGAAGGAAGAGGCAGGAGGAAGGAAAGAGGATGAGGATGAGGAAAAGGAGGAGGAGGGAGGAAGGAGAGTTAAAGGAGGAGGAGGAGAGATGAGCAAAGAGAGGGGGGGTGGGAGGAGGAGAATGAAGAAGATAAGGAGACAAGGAAAATTATGAAGTAATCCTAATAGTATTAATGCTATTAATCATCACTATCATTATCAGTATCATTATCACTATCATAATCATCAGCAGCATAATTATAATAACAACAATATCAACAACAATAATAACAATGATGATGATAATAATAACAATAATAAGAATAAAAATAATGGTAATAATAATGATGATGATAATGACAATAACAATAACAATAAAGATAAAGAAAGATAAAAAATGACAATAATTATGACAGTAATAATAACAATGATGATAATAATAATAATAATAATATTAATAATAATAATAATAATAATAATAATAATTATGATAATAACAATAATAATAACAATAATAAAACCAAAACAATAACAACAACAATAATATTAATAATAATAATAAAAATAATAATAACAATCACAATAATAATTATAATAATAATAATAATAATAACAAAAATAAAAACAACAATAAAACTAACATTAATAATAATTATAACAATATCAGCAGCAATAGTAGTAACAATATTCTACTACTACTAATGGCAGGAGTAATAAAGATAGCAATAGTAATAATAATAGACTACTACTAAGGTATGTGTGTGTGTGTGTGTGTGTGTGTGTGTGTGTGTGTGTGTGTGTGTGTGTGTGTGTGTGTGTGTGTGTGTGTGTGTGTGTGTGTGTGTGTGTGTGTGTGTGTGTGTGTGTGTGTGTGTGTGTGTGTGTGTGTGTGTGTGTGTGTGTGTGTGTGTGTGTGTGTGTGTGTGTGTGTGTGTGTGTGTGTGTGTGTGTGTGTGTGTGTGTGTGTGTGGTGTGTGTGTGTGTGTGGTGTGTGCGCCTACCTGCATGTGCATGCGTGCCTACCTGCATGCGTGCCTACCTGCATGCGTGCCTACCTGCATGCGTGCCTACCTGTGTGCGTGTGTGTGTGTACGCGCGCGTGTGTGTGTATGTGTGTGTCCGTGTGAGAGTGTATGTGTATGTGTGTGTCCGTGTGAGAGTGTATGTGTATGTGTGTGTCCATGTGAGTGTGTATGTGTGTGTCTGTGTGAGTGTGTATGTGTGTGTCTGTGTGAGTGTGTGTGTGTGTGTGTGTGTCCAAGTGGGTGTCTGCCTGTGTATATGTGTGTCTCCATGCGTGTGTATCCCTGTGTGTCTCTGTGTGTGTATCCATGTGTGTGTCCGTGTATGATTGTGTGAGCCCGGTGTGTGTGAGTCTGTGTGTGTGTGTGTGCACATGTGCGTGTCCCTGTGTGAGTGTGTGTGAGTGTGTGTGAGTGTGTGTAAGTGTGTCTGTGTGTGAGTGTCCATGTGCGCCTATGTGTGTGTGTGTCCGTGTATGTCTGTGTGTATGTGTGTGTCCATGTGTATGTTTGTGTCCATGTGTATGTTTGTGTCCATGTGTATGTGTGTGTCCATGTGTATGTGTGTGTCCATGTGTGTGTGTCCATGTGTATGTGTGTCCATGTGTATGTGTGTCCATGTGTATGTGTATCCATGTGTATGTGTGTGTCTGTGTGTATCCATGTCATGTGTATGTGTGTCTGTGTGTATGTATGTGTTTCCGTGTATGTGTGCGTGTGTACATGTGCATCCACGTGCAAGTGGGAGTGTGAGAATGAGTGAGAGTTCGTGTGTATTATTTGGTGTAGATATGGGTACAAGTACAAATGTAATGTTTAAGTGTGAGAATAAGCTTGGGTGTGGATGTACAAGTGTGGTAAATGTTTAGAGGACGCCTGCCTATCTCCCTCTGGCTTCAAACCAACTAGCAAGGGCTCCGCATCTATCAGCACTCCAACAAGGGTTAACAAACCTTTACCACATATGTACTGTCATCGTTAACCATCATCACTGTAACCAGATTACAAGAAATTCCAAGTGGATTTTGATAGAACAAAGGAAGTAAGATTACATGTCTCAGTTCTGAAAGCCACTGAGGATGCTTTCTAAACATCTATAAACATATAGTAAAATATCAATAACACATGCTACAAATGGAGAGACATTATTCTTCTCGACCATAAATATCACAAAATAAAAACAAAGGTTTAACCCTAGCCGACTAATACATGTCTCAAAAAATCATGATGGTTCTCATATCCTGGCATTCTGGCAAGGGCCAAATAACCTTCACTGTTTACGATTTGGCAAGGTAAAAGTAAAATAGTCTTCCATATTTAATGGTTGAATCACCATTTATGTCTATCTCCCATATGTATGATGGCCACGATCATGAAAAAAAAAGCCAGGCTTATTCTTAGCTATTTTGATCCGTTTCACATTTGAAATCACTTTAAAAAAAATTTATTTGTGATAATTACATTACATAAGAAAAATACATTAGCATTTATCTACCTATTGATTCCATGTCCATTTTACTTGATATATGTACATTCAAAAT